GCATATGGACAACAATAAATGAATTTATTTAGAGAGGGGAAATATAATAACTGAGCTATTCCCTCTGACTGAATTGTCGTCTTCTACTGGCATATTGAACTTTTATCCATCCTTCAAAATCCAGTTCAGGTGTCAGCTTCTTTGTGGAGTTGTCTTTCTTTTTCTGCACTATCTCTGTGCTTCCATCACACTTGTATGACTACATGTATAATTATTTACTTACTCTTTTTTCCTTCAATACTGAGTTCCCTGAGGGTCAGGGTATCACACCTTATTCATCTTTGCAGTGGGACTGCCTAGCAATGTCTGTGCCTGTAGCAGATGCTCAACTGTTTGCTTATTTGGACTGAAACAGTTTGAAAAGTGCAGTTGAATAAAGCAAGTTTAAAACATAGAAGTTACTTAAAAATTAAAAACAAAAATCTTACGTACTTGAATGTAGTAGGTTTACTTCTTTGACTTATAAAAATTCTGGGAAGGATCAATAATATACTATTTATTCCCACAAACAGTACACTTTAATTCTTGAAGAACTAAAAATTCTATCCATTCTTCATGCCCTAAACCAAGTCATCCATTTCCAAAATCCTTTATCTAAGAAGTCTGTTGTTAGTTGACCTTCAGTTGATTCTGACTCATGGCAACCCCATATGTGCAGAGTAGAATTGCTCTGTGGGGTTTTCAAGGCTGTGACTTTCAGAAGCAGAGTACCAGGGCTGTCTTCTGAGATGCCTCTGAGTGGGTTTGAACTGCCAACCTTTCGGCTACTAGTCAAGTGCTTAACTCTTTGTGGCACCCAAAGACTCCCTAACAAGTCTAGCTAATAATAATCTTCTCCCTTTCTCTTCTCCCTTACTACTCATTGTCTTCATTATACATTTAACATTTTATAACATTTAAATCAGCTATGATTATACAGGTAGTCCTCGACTTACCACATATTAGAGTTATGACAATCTGTGCTTACAATTGTCTGTTTTTTTTTTTTTTTACATTTTATCGTTAGTAACATGTACTACACACAATGTTGCAGTGTGTAATTTGCTGATGTCATCTTTCTCACATCAACCCCTAAAGACAAATAAAGATTGAATTTATAAAGTTACTGATTAAAAGTCAATTAATAATGAAAACTAAAAAAAAAAAAAAAAAGAGGAACTTGACTTATGTCAGAACTGACTTAGACAGCAGAGTAGTGGTTGGAACAGAACCCTGTTGTAAGTCAGGGACTACTTGTATAGTATAAGAGTCCCTGCGTCTTGCAAATGGTTAAGAGAGCTCTAAGATTAGTCTAGCTGAAATGTTGGCGGTTCAAACTCACCCGGGGGCGGGGGGAGGGGTGGCTTGAAAGATAGGCCTGGCAATCTGCTTCTGAAAGGTCACAGCCTTGAAAACCCTATGGAGCAGTTCTACTCTGGACACTTGGGGTTGCCATGAGTCGAAATTGGTTCAATGGCAACTAACAACAACGTGATTATATGTACTTATATTGTTTTCTAAATATTTTAAGTTTCTTCTCTCCCCAAGTAACTTGTTAAGAGTACAGGGTACAATCCATTAAATATTTGTGAGAGAGTGTGGAGGGGGCATGTTCTCTATGGTGGTTACTAAAACTGAGTATCAGTAGGGTGTTTAACAAATATTGCAACTGACATATAATTGATAGATGGACAAAAGAAGTATGATCTAGTGAGATGAACAAAATTAACATTAAGAACCATTTTTAATAAATACTAGGCCACTTGTTGTAATAAGAGGCAAAGTATTAGAAGAGCTTAATCTTGTTTAATAGAAAACTGTTTGAAAAATAAATCCTACAACCAAGCAAGATTTTCATAAACAGGGCTTTTTCTACTATGCTGTGCTGTCTCCAATAATAGAAAAAAGCCTCGTGAAATCTGTCAATAAATATAACCCCTACAAAACTTCCAAAGCTAATGAAGTCTCTAATTAGCAGTTACAGTTGTAGTTAAGAGAATAATAGCAGTTAATGTTTATTGAGCACTTACTATGTGCCAGGGGCCATCTGCTGTGCCACTTACCTTTTTACTCCTGTAATTATCACAATAACTTTACAAAGTAGATACTATTATTATATTCATTTTGTTGTTGTTGTTCTGTACTGTAGAGTCGATTGTGACTCACAGAGACCATGTAGGGCAGAGTTAACTTCCCCATAGGGTTTCCTAGGTTGAAATCTTTATGGGAGCAGATTGCCAGGTCTTTTCTCCCATTGAACGGCTGGTGGGTTCAAGCCGCTGACCTTTTGGTTAGCAGCTGAGTGTTTAACCACTGTGCCACCAGGGCTCCTATATTCATTTTACAGGTAAGAAAATCAAGGCACAGAGAAGTTACCTAACACGCCAGTGTTCACATGGCTGACAAATGGTTAAGCGTGAAGTTCAATTTTAAGAAATTTGGTTCATGGTTAATAATCACCAGGCTAATCTAGTATCTCTCATATGGTTAATGATTATTTTCCAATAAAAGTCATACCAACTGGCTGAAGAATCATAACAAACATTTTTTGTTAAATTAATCTTTGGGTATAATGATAGAGGTAGCTAGAGAAATAATGAGGGGATTTTAATATCATATTTCGCATTGGCTGGAACTTACTAAAGACATTGTCTAATTCAAGATTCTACAAACTAAAGATGATAGGGTGAATCTTGTGTGAATCTGTAGGTGAGTTTAGACGCTGAATTAAATATGCTTCCATCCTGAAAGAAAAATAGCAAATGCTTTCACTACTTACTTTCAGTTAATAACAGTAAGTGCTAAATGCTGGGGGACTTACAAAAAATGAGAACCTCACTCATTCCTTGCTTTCATAATTTCGAACTCTAAAAATGTAACCCATCTGTTTATACAATCATTGACTTAGCTCATTTTAACATATAGAATGTACTTTGTGTGCAGGGCTGTGAGAAACTCAATAATCATTATAAAAGACGACTGTAGAAGGTAATAGGTAGATCATAGATACAACACGTACATATCCACACACGATATACAGTGATGCCTTTTTAATCCAGAACTCTAATAAAAATGTTACACAATCGTCAGTATACATACACTATTTTATAAAGTGAAGGCATGTGGCACCGATTTTAGAAAGATTTTCATGAAATAGAAAAAAATTAAAGTTTTGCTTTAGTTTCTAATGATCAAGTCTTTACCAAGAACGTATACATTATATGCTTTATCAAAACACTACCTCATAACTGAAACTTGACATTTGAGGAAAGAGAATTTTAAATTAAATGCGTAGTTTGTTCTCTTATGTTGACTTATCTATGTTACTGTCTAATCTTTATTATTTTAAGTGTTTCTAATGTAAATTTAAATAAGTACATATACAGATCAGTAATCTCCTTAGCATATAGGCTAAGAAAATATTTACTATGTTTTTCACAAATATTTCAAATTTCTAATCTGCAAAGGAACATGCATTATCTGTTTTGAAATCAGCATTTGAAGATCTCTCCATAGATGAACGTTCTTGAGTCAATGGACTTTAGACTCTGCATTTATTAAACATTATGCATTAATAAAATAACAATGGTGTATACAAGTTATTATTATTTTTTTATTTAGTATTAAGTAATGTTATAAACAGGGGGCAGTGGTGGTTCAGTGTAGGATTTCCACCTTCCATGTAGGAGATATGGGTTCAATTCCTGGCCAATGGATCTCAGGTGTAGCCACTACTCTTCTGTCAGTGGAGGCTTGCTGTTAACATGATACTGAACAGGTTTTAGTGGAGCTTCCAAACAAAGACAGACTAGGAAGAAAGGCCTGGTGATCTACTTCCAAAAATCAGCCAATGAAACCCTACAGATCACAAAGGTCTGATCCTCAAGCATCAAGGGGATGGTTCATGGGGATGGTTCATGGGGATGGTGCAGGACCAGCAGCTTTCCTTCAGCTGTACATGGGATGCCCTTGAGTGGGAGGCCAGCCTACTCGATGACAGCTAACAACAACAACAAACATTATATACAATAAAACATAATTTCCAACCTATCTCTGAATCTCGGTTTGGAGCAAGGCTAGAATAACTTGAATTGCATTTATTTATTTCCAATGCGTACACGTCAACAGTTTGTGTGCAACGTTCCTGTGTGGTAATAGCACCTTAGCTTCTGGAGTTTATGCCAGATATAATTCTTGTTTTTGAAAGTTCAAACATAAATAACTCCATTCAAACATAAATAACTCAGTTTAATTCTTATATTTATTGAATACAAGGCAAATCAGACTCTGAGGAAAAGCGACTTCTATTAGGCTTTCCTGGTCCCCATGAAGCTTACAATCTAACATCAGACTCTTAAAGGCACGGCCTCTCAGGACTGGGGAGCCAAAAGAAGGCTGCTCCAGCGGGCCTCGGGTAGCAAAGCGCTTCCTGGCCCAGAGGCCAATCTGGCAAGGATCTGCTGCTGGCAAACACACATTAGTCAGGATAAAGTCGCCACACACTTAACCAAGCGAAGCATAAATGGTCCTTTCAGCACGCGCTTCGGAGGCGGGATATTGCAGAGCCCAGCAACCCAGTTCACTTTTTCAGTGATCCCCAAACTCACATTTCTAACGCTTTCTGCTCCATGAGTCCAAGAATTGGAGCCTGGGTTGGCAGCAGAGCAGGCTGGGCTCACCTAAGTGCCTCACTTTCTTTGAAGTATCTCCACCACCACTTTGCCCAAGCGCAACTTTTCAACGGATTAGGGGGCAGTGAAACAGGATAGGAAGCGAGGAAGGAAGAGAAGCCGCGCCAACACCACGGTGGCGTTATCAAAAGAGAAAGAAAGAAAAGGCGGGCAACAGGTACCTGCAAGTGGTGGCAAAGAGGGCAAAGGACACGCCTAGCAGGGGGAGCAGGGGGTGGGGCTACGTGCCAGTCCTAGGGTTCGCAGCACTAGCGCGCTAGGAGGGATTGCGAACGTCCCAGGCTGCCTGCTGCCCGCCGCTCCGCGGGAGAGCAGTTGAGTTCCAGGAATCTGCTCCTCGCCCAGCCCACGAGCGCGTTGCCCCAAGACGCGACGGCACCCATGCCCCAGTCCGGGGAGCGGGCGGCGCTCGCAGCCGAAGGTGTGTGATGAGGGGTTGAGCGCGTGGCGGCCGGCGGCGTCGTTCCCCACTGAACCAAACGCGGGAGGAAAGCGGCGCGCTCCAGCTCAGCTTGCCGCGCGCGGGGCGGGGCGCGGCTGCGGGGGGGTGCCCAGCCGCCCGCGGGGAGCTGCGGAGGAGCAGGCGCGCTGCGGACCGGAGGGCTAAAGCATTGCTATCAACGGTGAGTCCAGAAAGCCCGTCCTAAGCCAACACGCTAACTCTGCAGCCTCCTCACGCCCCCAAACCACCAAAGGTGGCGACATCTGATCCAGCGCACAAACACGAGTCCCTTCTGTCCCCGGATACGATTACGCGGCAGAGACATACTCAAACTCACGCGCAGCAGCCAAGAAACGAGGTAAGTAGAGGGACGCTGCCTTTCTCGAGGGCGGAAGGGGGGCGGGCTGCGGGGAGGAGCGGGGCGTTGTTTGCTCCCAGAGGTGAGTGTTGGGCGAATGGCTGCGATCCAGGGGAGGGGGTGGGGGTAGAAATCGGAAAGTGCAAATGAGGTTGGGCTGAGGGAGTTAGGAATAAGTTGGAGGTGGGGAGAAAGGCTGGGGGCTGGAGAGGGTGCAAAGATCTAAGCTGCCCCAATCGCACTCGTACCTCTTTCTCTCCCACATGGCACCCATTTGAGGGTCCTCTCTAGTGTTCGCGCGTGCAGACAGAGGGAGGGGATAACAGGGCGCCGAGCGCCCGGGCCGCGGATCCGACCGAAGCCCTTGCACTTGACCCTGAAAGGATGTGCACAGCGGAGCCGCGAGGCCGAAGCCCCCTGCCAGGCAGGGATGGGGAACCCGGAGGTGCTTCTGGACCTCTCCAACTACAGTCTTTTCTCCCCCCTAAGGGGGAAACCGAGCGTGGTGCGTTGGGGGTGGGGAATGTCACTGAGTGTCCACACACACTGGGACCTTTCAGCACCCGCCTGTACTCGCGACCCCCAGAAATGGATGGTGGTATCTGGGGTGGACGAGTCCCGACGCGGATAGGGATGATACCGCGTGCCCTTGCACTGAAAGCGTGTGCGTGCCGCCGGGGTTAGAAAGGGGGTGAGGCAGGGCGGGCTGGCGAGAGAAAGACGCACAGAAGGGAGAGGGGCGCCTTCCAAGGGCTAGTGGAGCGGCAGGGGGCCTGGGATGCACGGCTTCGGGTCGTTGGAGGCAAACAGCATCGGAGGGTGCAAATATATGCAGCAAGACTGGACAAAAGGACAATCAAAGGTGGCGGGGAGGGGAGGGGGCAGTGTACCAGATCTGTTGGTGTAAAACCCCTGGTTGATTGAGGGCTTAGAAAGTTGGGAACGGTGAACGCGCTGCTCTGCAGCGCTTCCTTAGGGAGAGGATTGCCTGTGGACCCACGTCTGTAACACTAATGCCGACCTCCTTAAAGCATCACAGAGGGCGGGAGAAAAGGTGGAGAACTTCAGAGGAAGTCCCGCTAACACTAAGGCTAGTTTGCACTGAACTAGTCATTATCAGGGCGTTTCACCAGGGAACGGGATGGGTGGCCTTTAAAACCAGGCGTAACTGACAATCACCTCCATTATGAGCTAGTGTTAGTAATAAAGACAAAGCCTTTATTTCCGGTGGGTTCTACACGGACAGTGTAAAAACAAAAACAAACTACTTCTTAAAAACCTTTAGTCCCGTCCGGCTGTCACCTTGTAAAGTGAGTTTTTCAAGATGAATCACGTAAAAGTGTGGCAGTTTGGTTAGATGCCATTGTGCTGTTGGTTCTGTTTCTGATAATTTCATGTTGAAAAAACAAAAATCGGCCTTACTCAGAACTGGTGTGCTTCATTTCCAAGTATCCCTACAAAAAAATTGACTACCGTTTGAAGGAAGGATAGAAAGTGCATTTTAAAAAGTATTTTAATTTATTAGGAGTAATCACACTTTGTCCCCTGGAGATTTTAAAATTAATTAAAAAGTCATGCACCTCAAAAGTATATGGTAAAGGACACTAGAAATTTGTGTTAATTGGATTAAATTATGAGCGTGTGTTCTTCCCATTTTAGCGAGGGAAACAGCCAATTTAGTTTCTTCTGTAGAAACTATCTTCTAGTAGTCTGAGGTTTCGCTTTAGGAATGTGACTCCCTTCAGCAACTATTTTAGATAATTCCAGAGGGAAATACACTAGTATTGTTTGATTTGTCTGCCACCCACAAGGTTAAGTTGACATCTAGTGTTGTGTAATTTAGTGCTAGAACCCGTTGCCATCCAGTCGATTCCAACTCATAGTGACCCTGTAGGAGTGTTTAAAACCTACAGTCAAGCCTAGTGCCCTGACATTTAATAAGAGCTTGATAGTTTATTAGGAACTTGGGCATAACTGAGAAGACAGTATACTTTGGCTTTTACCGGGTAATAGGACTGTAGAGATTTGAACTCCTTTTTTTAAATCCAGAATTTCCAGAGCTTTATGCTTGCTGTATTTATTCTCAGTGCACATATTAAAAGAAATAAACAAATGCAGTAAATAAAGATATTTATAACAAAATTAGATTTTTGTAAAGTCTATTTTTTGTTTCAAGAGTTTTACAGTTCATGTTTACCAATAATTTAATTTAAATTGGTTAAAACATTTTATGGTACCTTATAAACAGCCATCAGCTTAATCACCATTTAAATTGCTGAAAAATGAAGAAAGTCACCACAGTCTTTAAACTCTTTTTTCAAAATTATATGTGTCTGTTGATCAGATAATATTGATTTGATGCTGTTAATTCACACTAAACTTCCAAGGTATACCTTGACAGTAAAATCTTTTGATTGTTTACGTAATATGTAATAATGTCTCATTTATTTGACACCATCTGGGTTAGTACTTATTTACATTAGCACATTTTCTAAATAGCTGACCCCTCACACCATTAATTACTAAAACATTTTATAATTTAGCCAATAAAACAGTTTCTATATCTTAATGCCCTTTCTTGCTGCCTTGGAGGATAATTGTATATAAGCTAATCTTTTTTATTGAGTTGTCTTTATGAACATGAATTCATAAAGAATTGAATAGTGCTGTTCCTTGAGGTGTATAGAGCTGTTTTTGTTTATAGTAAATGGTCTTGCTTTGCTGGGTTGAAATACTAGAATGGAGACAGAAGTACCATTCTTCTTTTTATGATTTTTCTGGGTCCTCTTTCTGTTATCAGCTATCACTTTCTACTGCTGTCAGGCTGTGAGCGGGCCCTGCTGCTATATTATCTGTTGTCTTATTTTCCATGAAATGATGTGGGCTACTGCCCAAATATAAAGTCTGTGGACTTTGTGACAGACGCTTGCTGTTCCCAGGCTTTCCTTCTGGGCTAGATTGTGAGCTTAATGACTGAGGTTCCCAGACGGGTAGCCTCTGTATAAATGTGTTTTTAATAGGAACATTTCGTGTATATGTTCTTTAGAAATTTCTTAATTTCAGACAGTTCAGTCTTCTGGAAAATCATTGCTTTTTTGAGAAATTGAAGCTGCCCTTTAAAATGATTACTTTTCTTATGGTAGGCCCCAGATTGTCTTTGTTTGGGAATCTGTATATTATGCTATTTTACATTCCACTTTCTTTTATTAAGATTCACTAGCCATATGCAATGTTGATACATTTCCCTACTCTGGAAGATAGGAATAAGAAGTATGATTTGATAATCCTGATAACCATATTTGAGGCTACGTCAGTTATTTAAATATTATTTTGCATACTTACTCATGGAAGAGCTACATAATCAAATCAGTTCAAATGAAGTAGTGTAAATTCATCTTGAAAACAGTGGCAATCATATATTCTTCACTGGTAGCATTTCACAAACGTTCATTCTTTTACTAGACAAACATTTATTAAAAGCATGCTACATGCCAGACACTGGGCTTTGGGGATATGCAGACAAATAAGACTCTGGAAGGGCTCTGGATTGAACAGGGGGAGATAGATAGAAAACAAGTTAGAATAATAAATACAATATAGTACCATGAGTACTGTGATAGAGATATGCAGAAAGTATCCAGAGCAGGGATTTGGAAGTAGCCAGTTCTCTATGGGGTGGAAGACTAGAGAGGCTTCATAGAAAAGGTGACTTGAAAGAGTGAGTGTAGGTGGGGCAAGACCATGGAGGGCTATGTTTGGACCATTGTTGTTCAGGGTTGTTTTGTTTTAAACAAAGGAGTGATATGATGAGAAGACAGCTGTCACAGTAATCTAGAGGGATGGATCTGAGGAATGTGAGGATGGAGGCAGGAAGAGCATCTGAAAAAGTATTAGCATGATCTTGGTAAGAGAGGTTGAGGGCCTTAGGCTAAAGTGATAATGGAATGAAGAAAAGGGTTTGGCCAAAGTGATAATGGAATGGAGAAAAGGGTTTGGCCACAGAGATATGGACTACTGTAGTTGACTGATTAGATGGGAGGGGTGTAGGAGGATAGGATAGGGAGTATAAAAAAGAGTCAGATCTGAGGAGCAAAGGTGAAGAGTTCAGTTTTGAACATGTAGAATATGAAGTGCTTATAGGAAATAACTGGAGATGAGTGTCTATTGGATCATTGCACAGACGTTCTGTGCAGAGAAGTCTGGGCTAGATAAGTAGGTGGATAAATGGATAGATAGATGGGGGCTGACTGAACAGACTGATTTAGCAGCTTTTAGCATGTAGTTGGTTGCTGAAACATAATAGAAGTTGATAGGTCTCCCAGGGCTAAGTATAAAGAGTAAGTGGAAAATAGAGGCCTAGGGGGGAATCCTAGCATTTAAGCGTTGGATAGAGAAATAGGGACCAGCACAGAAGAATGAGAAGGTACAGAGTGAGAAAAGCAGGGTCAGAGTCAGGGGAGAATGACTTTTTAGTACCTGAAGGAAGAGAGACTTTTAAGAAGTGAGATGTCAGGTACTAAGATGAGGAACATCTGACAGTCCTGGTGCTGACCCTGAATAGCTCTGTGACCTTGAACTAAAATAATTTAGTTCTTTTTCCTTCTCTACAAAAAGGAGATTTAAAAAAAAAAAAAAAAGCATACTTCATACTGCTACTGTGAGGGTCAAATGAGATAAAGTATGTAAAACATGGTGCCTGGAAAGTTACTCCTTTGTATTCAGTAAATACTAATGATTTTTATGAAAAGCAGCCATTGGGTGTTGTGATTAGGAGGTCAGTAGCAACTATTACTTATAAAAGTGCTCTCTCTCTCTTAGGTTCAATGAGGGTGATTGAGATAGATACTTTTAAGATGCAAACTTGATCGTATTTATAGCCTTTGAGGAAGAAACCAGTACAATAGGAGGAAGTGAACATTTTGGAGAGGGAGCAGAGACCCCTCTGAACAAGGTCCTTGAAGAAAGGATGGGAGGTTGCATCAGGAGCTCTGAGGGAAATA